ATAGTGTTAGTGCCCCTCCCAGATAGCGCCAGTTTGCCCGCTAGTGCACCAGAAATCCCATTTAACCCCTTGATTGCCCCCCCCCCCCAGTTAACCCCTTCACTGCCCTGTCACCAGTGTCATTGATTACAGTGAACAGATTTTTACTGATCACTGTATTAGTGTCCCTGGTGACTTCCGATAGTGTTAGCGCCCCTCCTAGATAGCGCCAGTTTGCCCGCTAATGCACGGGATTTTTTTTACCAAAAACATGTAGCAGAATACATTTTGGCTTAAATTTATGACTAGCTTTGAGTTTACTATATATTTTTTATAGCTGAAAGTAGAAAATATTGTTTTTTTTTCAAAAGTTTTTGTGTTTTGTTTATAGCGCAAAAAATGAAAAGCGCACAGGTGATAAAATACCACCAAAACAAAGCTCTATTTGTGTGAAAAAAGGACGTAAATTTCGTTTGGGTACAGCATTGCACACCGACCGCGCAATTATCATTTGAATTAGTGCAGCGCCAAACAGCAAAAAAAGGCCTGGTCATTAAGGGGGGTAAATCCTCTGGGGCTCAAGTGGTTATAGTGCAAAATATAAAAACTCACAGGCGATTGAATACCACCAAAAGAAAATTTGTGGGGGAAAAAAAAGGGATGTAAATTTAATTTGGGTGCAGCGTTGCATGACTGCGCAATGGTCAAAGTACAGTGCCGTAACTCACAAAAATGGCGTGGTCAGGAAGAGGGTAAATTCTCTAGAGGGCAAGTGGTTAAATAGGAACGTGTGTTTTTATCGCATTCCACTGTGTTTTTGATGCGTTTTAACGCGTTCCAGTGCATTTCTGTGCAGAAAAAAATGTGTGTTCTACTTTTTTTTCTGCAACTGCAAGCACTGATGTGAACTGACATTGACAACCATATAACCTACTTTCTGTGCATTTTGGATGCAGAAACAAAATCAACTGAAATGCATGTAGTGTGAGCTGGCCATCACACAGGAACCGCACAGCATTCTCGTGCAAAACGGTGCAATTTGAGCCATACATTTTGTAAGGCTCAGATCGCAACCGCATCAACATAGTGCAGGACCCTTTTTTTTCGTCTCCACCAGAATCGGATATTCACACCCATGCGATCCAATTCTGCACATCCCGCCGCATTTTGCCAACCGATTTCGGGGTGTTGTGAACTTAACATACACACCTGCAGTGGTGTATTTAGGTTTTGTGCTGCCCTAGGCAACACAAAAATCAGATGCCCCCCCCTCCCCAGCGGAGAGATCCTAACACCGACCAACACCAGACCCTCCCCATGGAGAGAGCCTGGCAGTGACCAACACCCCTGCCCCATTCCCACCCGAGAAAGCCTTCCACTAATACCCCCCCCCCCCCGGCAGCGACAGAGAGAAAGACGCTCACCTTCACAGCTCTGGATATCCCCGGAACGACAGTCGGGCTCTGCATCCACCATCAAGCTGCCTGCAGCCTCTCTCGGATCCCACCTAGTCCCCATGCCCCATATGCCCCCCTGAAAAATGCCGCCCTAGGCACATGCCTTGTGGTAAATACACCCCTGCCACAGCGGTTCAAATGAACGTGGTGTGATCATAATGCAGTGGGGAAATCGCACAGAAACCGATGCGACTTCCACACCACATCAGTGTGAACCTGGGCAACAAGTACGCAGTGCAATGGCCGGCCTGAGATGACCCAAGCGTAGTGGATGCTCTGCCCCTTATATTAGAGGGTTTTGGTCAATCTAAAGGCGATTGTACAATCAGATTGTGTGGTGTATGGCCATGTGTGTCCAGGCTGCCCCATACAATACACAACGTCATGTTATTATACAGAATATATATTATTTATATAGTGCCAATAGTTTGCTCAGCGCTTTACAATATAACGAGACGATACAGTTCAATACAAGGAGAGCTAGGAGGGCCTGATCCTTGGAGCTTACAATCTATCACATCCAGCAGACACAGGTCCTGGTGGGTATAGGAGTTGTCACTATCAGCAGAGCACAGCCACGTACATGACAGTACACGGTGATCTAGGAGCACACAGGCCATTGTGGATGGGACAGATGTATTGTGTAGTAGATGGGAAGCTTCCTGCACATGATGTGGGGCTTGTGCATTGTCATGGCCAGCACCGATGACAGATCTGCAGGTTACATAGACAGCGATGACCTCTTCTTACCCGCACAGCTCTCTGGGTGCTCCCCCTGAGGACTGTCCGCTGGCGATGATCAGGAGCGCAGCCACCAACACGACTCCCCGGGGTCTCATGCTGCGGCCGAATCAAGAGCACAACCCCACCGTACAGACACAGGCAAGCGCAAGACAGCGTCATGTGACCATCACATGACAGCCCCGCCTACAGCCCGTCACACGTGATCTGTCCCTCTCACACCATCTCCCTCTAGTGTACAGCGGTGGTCACTGCTAGGGTGTTGTGCAGTGTAGTCGCTGCAGGAGGCTCCAGAGTGTTAAAGAGAACCTTCCCCCGTGAAATCATCTGACAGTGCCGCTAAAGGCAAAACTTTATTCGTTTTGGATGGAGTGAACAGGGATTAGAAGGAGGATTGCCATTTCATCTCTTTAACTGTTTCAATACCGTGCAATTTTACACCTTCCTGCCCAGGCCATTTTTTTCAGGTTTCATCGCTCTCACACTTTGAATGACAATTGCGCGGTCATACAACACTGTACCCAAACTAAAATTTTATCATTTTCTTCACACAACTAGAGCTTTCTTTTGGTGGTATTTAATCACCACTGGGGTTTTTATTTTTTGCTAAATTAACAAAAAAATACCAAAAATTTTGAAAAACACAGTTTCTGTTATAAAAGTTTATAAATAAATAATTGTTCTTCATAAATTTAGGCCGAGATGTATTCTGCTTCATGTCTTTGGTGAAAATAACCCAAATTAGGATGTATTATTTAGTCTGTAGGAAAGTTATAGAGTTCACAAACTATGGTATAGATCTGAATATTGATCAATCCTGAAGTACTGACAGCCAATCTAATTTCTTGAGGTCCAAGAATGTCAGAATAGTACAGATATCCCCCAAATGACCCCTTTTTACAGAGCAGACAGTCCGACGTACTTCATAAGAGGCATGGCGAGTTTTTTGAAGTTGTATTTTTTTGTCATAATTTTTCGGAAAATGAAAAAATGAAAAAAATTATTTTCACTATTTTTTTTTTTACATACTGTCACCAGTGCAGTACAGCGTCATCATATAACTGGCATGGCGGTGAACAGGGACACTGACTGGTGACAGTATGAAAAAAAAAATATATATTTTTTTTTTTATTTTTTTTATTTTTTTATTATATTTAATTTTTTATTACATTTTTTAAAATTATTTTTAAGATTTTTTTTTCATATTTTACTATGACCAAAATATTACAATGTTACCATAGTAACATTGTACTACTTTGGGGAAGTGATCAGTATTTTTTTTTTTTTTTACACAATTTGTTTATAGCAAAGAATTACTTTGCTATAAGCAAGCATTTACCTGAATGAAATCGATTCATTCAGCTTTTTTTTTTTTTTTTTTTTTTTTTTTTTTGTGCTTATCTGTGATTTGGTCACAGCTAATCACATGACATGTGCATGTGATTAGCTGTGACCATTCACAGCTAGGCACTAGTATACAATGGGTGGCATCATGAATGAAGCCATCCATTGTATACAACTGTCATGTGACCTGCTGTGATTGGTCACAGCAGGTCACATGGTACCAGCAACGGGAGCCGATACTCGGATCTGTCATCGGCCGTGTCCGAGGTGCACGGCCGATGACAGATCGCACTGCTGCGCCGCTCTGCACTAGCGCAAACGGCGCATGTGCGGGAGCACGCCAAATGGCGTGCACCCGGAATGCAGATACACATCTGAAGCCGCCAAACGGCCATTGGCCGGGCGGCTAATGGTTAAAACCGAATACATTCATTACTTGGGTTCTGTAGCTGATTACGGTGGTAATTAACCACTTCAATACCAGGCACTTGTACCCCTTCCTGCCCAGGCCAATTTTCATCTTTCAGCACTCACACATTTTGAATGACAATTGCGCCGTCATGCAACACCATACCCAAACTACATTTTTATCATTTTGTTCACACAACTAGAGCTTTCTTTTGGTGGTATTTAATCACCACTAGGGTTTTTATTTTTTGCTAAATTAACAAAAAAAGATTGAAAATTTTGAAAACTCACGTTTTTCTTTGCTTCTGTTATAAAAGTTAGCAAATAAATAATTGTTCTTCATAAATTTAGGCCAAGATGTATTGTGCTTTATTTCTTTGGTGAAAATAACCCAAATCAGTGTTTATTATTTAGTCTGTAGGAAAGTTATAGAGTTCACAAACTGTGGGATATATCTGAAAATTGAAAGTACTGACAGCTGATTTCTTGAGGCCCAAACATGTCAGAACAGCACAGATATCCCCCAAATGACCCCTTTTTGCAAAGTAGACAGTCCGACGTATTTCATAAGAGGCATGGCGAGTTTTTTGAAGTTGTAATTTTTTGTCATCATTTTTCAGAAAATTAAGAAATTAAAAAAATTTTCACAATTTTTTATTTTACATGCTGTCACCAATGCAGTACAGCGTCATCATATAACTGGTGTCTCGGTGATCAGGGACACTGACTAGTGACAGTACAAAAAAAAAAAAAAAGATAATTTTTTTTTTTTTATTATTTTTTATTACATTTTTCTCTTTTTTTAAGATTTTTTTTTCATATTTCACTATGACCAAACTAGTACAATGTTAGCATAGTAACATTGTACTACTTTGGGGAAGTGATCAGTATTTTTTTTTTTTTTTTTTACACAATTTGATTGATTATAGCAAAGAATTTATTGCTATAAGCAAGCATTTAACTGAATGAAATTGATTCATTCAGGTTTTCTTGTTGTGATTACCTGTGATTGCCCACGGATAATCACGACACAGATGGGCTGTGATTGGCCCAGCCTGTGCATGTAATCACTGTGACCATTCACAGCTAGACACACTTGTATACAATGGATGGCATGAAAGGAAACCATCCATTGTATACAACTGTCATGTGGCCTGCTGTGATTGGTCACAACAGGTCACATGGTACTGGCAATGGGCCCGGTACACAGATCTGTCATTGGCCGTGTCCAAGGTACACAGCCAGTGACCGATCTCGCCACAGCATGGCCCTGCGGGCAGGCGCACTGCACAATCCAGGAAGGACGTCATTTGATGCCCTACCGGAGGAATGAGAGGTTCGCCCGGCCGTCATATTACTATAGGCCGGATGGGAAGTGGTTAAAATGCACATGTGTTTTTGATGCGTTTTGCATTTTTTAATCTGCCCAGCATCAAGTTGGTCACAAAAAAATTCAGAGAAATGCAAAACGCATCAAAAATGTCAAAAACGTGCATGCAAAAACACAAAACACACTGCAAAATGGAGAAAACGCAAACTGCACTGTTGTGAACCAGGCCTGAAATGCATTGAAAACTCATCAAAAACACACGTGTTGCATTTTGATGTGTTTATTGGGTCACATGACCTATGAAAAACACACCCTAAACATGGTAAAATCACTGCAAAATAGCAGTAAAATCGTGGCAAAACCGCAGGTAAAATCGCAAGAAAAACCGCGGCAAAGTCATAGGTATAATTGCGGCAAAATCTCTCATTTTCTGCGGTCATTAATGCTTTTTTTTCCTATCTGCAAAATGCCTATAAGTGTATATCGCTGCATCCCTAGTTATAACCCTCCCTTACTCTGTCCAAAATGGAAAAAAAACGTTTTGGCTTTGGTGTCACTTTGAAGCAGACTTCACTCAAAGGGGAAGATTTACTAAAGCTGGAGCACTCTGACACAGCTGCGAAAGAGAGCCAATCAGCTTATAACTTCAGTTTGTTCAATTAACCACTTCCAGACCGGACACTTTTACCCCCTTCCTGTCCAGGGCAATTTTCAGCTTTCAGCGCTATCACACTTTAAATGACAATTGCGCGGTCATGCAACACTGTACCCAATATGAATTTTTTACAATTGTTTTGAGACAAATAAAGCTTTATTTTGGTGGTATTTATTCACCGCTGGGATTTTTTTGTTTTTTGCTATGTAAATGAAAAAGTCCAAAAATTTTGAAAAAAAAAGTGTTTTTTTTTTATAAAATTTTGCAAATAAATAATATTTAATCATAAATCTTTGCCAAAATTTATTCCGTTATCTTTTTAGTAAAAAAAAAAATCCAAAATTAGTTTATAACCAAAAATTATAATTTTTAAACATTTTTTTTTACATTTTTATTTTATTTTTTTTATATTCTTATTTTTTTTTTTTTTTTTACATACTGTCACCCTAGCAGTACAGTGTCACCATGGTGACACTGTACTACTTGTGGGGGGGTGATGAAGATTTTTTTTATTTATTTTTTTTTTTTTTACACTGCTGCTTTTACACCCATATATAGGATGTAAAAGCAATCATTTCTCTCTTTCTCTGTGTGCATTCTTGCACTCATTGAGAAGTACTGAGTGAGCTGTGATTGGTCACAGCTTGTCACATGGTACAAGGCTGTTGTGAATAGCCTTGTACCATGTGACCTCTGTGATCATTCACAGATTTCACACGTAGTAAGCAATGATGTCACAAGTGACATCTTGCTTACTACTTTGCATGTGATCACTGATTGGCCAATCAGTGATCACATGATCGGGACCTCGTACAGAGGTCCCGTCCGATGATCAGTGTCTCACTGTGTCCGGAGGACACAGCGGGCACCGCATCGTGGTGCTGCGCGCTCCCAGGGAGCGCGCACAAGCAGAGTGCTGGGAGGCCGTTTAAAAACGGCCACCCGACCCTGCACTGCCACCGTCTGGCCGTTTATATGCAACGGCCGGTCGGGAAGTGGTTAAGCTTTGGCATTACAACCTGAAAGCTGATTGGTTTCTATTTATTTATTTCAGGTACTTATATAGCACTGTCAATCTACACAGAGCTTTACATATATATTGTACATTCACATCAGTCCCTAACCCTCAAGGGGCGTACAACCTAAAGTCCCTAACTTTGGAGTGTGGGAGGAAACTGGAGAAAACCCACGCAGACACAGGGAGAACATGCAAACACCAGGCATGTGGCGGCATGGTTGAGATTTGAACCAACAACCCTAGTACTGCCAGGCGGAAGTGCTAACCATTTAGCCACTGTGCTGCCCATGCAGAGCTGCACCAGATTTTTCACTCTCCAGCTTTAGTAAATAACCCCCAAAACATTACGTACCCCCATTCTTCCTCTACACCCAGCTTGTAATTGGATTGGTTATTTTTTTTGGGAGGGGGAAGTACGTTTTTTTTTTGTTGGTACTCGCATCCACTTCCACAAATTCTCGCCTAGGCCAGGATGGTGTCACTCGATCCACATGCAACCTTCCAGGACACATTACACATCCCAGGAGGCCGCAGGACCAGTATCCCTGCACCACGTGTTATTTCACTTTTAGGGCCAATTCACACTACGTGCATTTCAGTTGCTTTTTCTGCATCCAAAAAACGCACAGAAAGAAGGTTATATAGATGTCAATGTTACAGTTCACATCAGTGCTTGCAGTTCCAGTGTGTTCCGGTTGCAGAAATAAAATAAGAACAGGCTGCATTTTTCCTGCACAGAACTGTACTGGAATGCTGTAAAACGCATCAAAAATGCACCGGAACACACATGTCCCTATTTAAATTGAAGAAAAGGAGAGGAGGAAAAAATGATCTGGATCGCATCAAAAATGCACTGGAACACGTTTCAAAAACGCACATGCGGAAACGCATCTGGACTGCATTTCTATGGTGTGAACCAGCCCTTAAGCATTGGCGAGCAGGCTATAATTCATCAGGAAGTGATAGTCGGCTTCCAAATCCAAATTGGTGGCAGCCGCAAGAGGAATCAGCTGTGAGGAGACAGCGCAGGAATCAATGACTGGTGAGTATCTGATTTTTAAAAGTCAGCAGCTACCATAGCTGCTGACGTTTAATTTTTAAAAATGTAGGGAAGTTCTTCTTTAAAGTAGAACTGATGACAAATTTAAAAAATGAAAAACTGGATAGAGAAAGAGAGGGTTACCACCCATTTTTGCCATCTGTGTTCTTTTGGCCAGATTTTCCTTCACGTCCTGTCCCATAGCCAAAACAGGAAGTGAGAGAAAATCCCTCCAAAGAGAGGGAATCCCTGGATGTCATCAGGTCACCTTTGGAACATGTTACATGTTCCACCCAATTATAAGGTGGAACATGTAACATGTTCTCATAGCTGCAGGCGCGCCCGCCGCACCCCTCCCTCTAACAGATACAACCCCTGGCAAAAATTATGGAATCACCACTCTTGGAAAATGTTCATTCAATTGTTTAACCACTTGCCATCGACAGGATTTTTCGCCCTTCCTGACCAGGCCATTTTTTACGTTATGGCACTTTTACTGACAATTGCGTGGTCATACAATGCTGCACCCAAATTAAATTCACATCCTTTTTTTTTTCCCACAAATTGAGCTTTCTTTCGGGGGTATTTGATCACCTGTGCGTCTTTAATTTTTTTGCGCTATAAAAAGTCCGACAATTTTGATAAAAAAACAATAATTTTGACTTTTTGCTATTAAACATGTCCAGTAAAAAAATTTTAAAAATCAAATTCCATCATAAATGTAGGCCAAAATGTATTCTGCTACGTCTTTGCTAAAAAAAACTAGTAATTTTTTTTACTAGTAATGGAGGCGATCAGCGACTTATAGCAGGAATGTGGCAGGCATTCTGACACTGGGGGGAACTGACATCTCCAGTGACACCAATACAGTGATCAGTGCTATAAAAAAGTACTGACACTGTACTAATGGCACTGGGCAGGAAGGGACTAACATGAGGGGCGATCAAAGGGTTAACTGTGTGCTGGGATTGTTTTACTAGGGGGTAGTGTCTGTGTGCTTCACGGTAAGCACACTGCTTTGGGTGATTGTGCTGTGCACAGCCATCCAAAAGCAGTGTGCCCGAGCTGAGAAGGAGGAGAACTGTTAGTAAACAAAACAGTTCTCCTCCCCGTTAGAGATCATCAAAAATCACCAGGCGCCGGTGATTGACAGCCGCACATGGCAGCTCAGGTAGGGCGCGCACGTGGGTCACGCACACCCTCTACCTGGCAATTCAAAATCACGTATAGATACATGATTTTGCGCACCCATGCCGCCCTGTAGCAGTATTTCTACTATAGGGCGTTCGGGAAGCAGTTCATTGTGTATAAAAAAAAAAAAAAACAATCACCGACATGCCTGAAAACTATTTTCATTTAACATTCCAACCTTCTGGCTTTAAGAAACACAAAAATAAAAAAAGAATGAAAACTGTAGTCAGTTGCAACTGGTTTTGCAGATCAAACAGAGGGAAAAATTTATTCCTCCCACTGACGCCAACATTGGGGGACTATTCCTCTCACTGACACCAACGATGGGGTACTATTCCTCCTACTGACACCAATAGTGGGCCAATATTCCTCCCACTGACACCAATGATGGGGCACTATTACTCCTACTAACACCAATGATGGGGCACTTCCCCCCCCACTGACACCAACAATAGGAAAAAATATTACTCCACTTACACAAATGATGGGGTACTATTCCCCCCACTGACATCAACAATGGAACCTAATTTCTGCCACTGACTCCAACAATGGGCCATTATTCCTCCCGCTGACACTAATGACAGGGCACTATTCCTCCCATTGATGCCAACACTGGGGTACTATTCCTCCAACTGACACCAACTATGGGGCACTATTCCTCTCCTTAATACCAAAGATGGGACATTGTTTAGTCCCACTAATGCCAAAATATTTTCTACTCCCTCTGGCTCCCCTAAAGTCTGAAAGATAGTAAACTGGTCCTTTCTATAGAAAGTTTGGAGACCCCTGCTTTAAAGTATTCTTTACCTGCATGTTCCCAAACTGCTGAAATGAATAAACTCCCACACATGCATGGGAGCAGGGGCAGACTGACCATGTGGAAACTCAGGCACTGCCGGGGGTCAGTAGGGGGCCCCATGAGATGCCCCTGGTACCTTTTTCATAGGCTTTTTTGAGTTTGGGCAAGGACACAGGGGCCCCATGATCCCTTATTGCCCTGGGGCACCATGAGTTGTCAGTCCGCCCCTGCATGGGAGTGACATCATCTTGACCCAGCCAATGAAAAGTTCAAAGCTTGAAACACGGAAAAAGACTGGCCGAAGATGTCAGCACCTGGTGAGGGAGCTCCTGAACGTGGAATCGCTGTAGTGGAGTATTGTAATGGC